TAAACTACCTGACTGCCCACCAATGCTTAAAATGCCATTAAGAAAAGATAATTTGAAAAAAAAAGAAAAAGAAACAAATAATAAAAAAGAAATTAGTAAAACAAATAATACTTAAAATCCAATTTCTAACCACAGGAAATGTGACTGAAGAGAAATGTAATAATTTGTGCATATAATGCAACCTTAAAGGATCTCTGACAAAGCATTAAAAAGTAATTGTTCACTCACTTTTCTAACATATTTCTTGCCTCCCCTAGTGATACTTAAAAATGTATGCATGATAGAAAAAAGCATATAAATATAATTAGACATGGATATTCATGTATAGATAACTATAGATACAGATATGCGCATGATATTATAAATATGTAATATATTATATGTTATTATATATTATACTAACTACTATACTATATCAATATACTATATATACCATCCATATATACGCGGTATAAATTGTATAATACTGATATGTATATGTAGATCATGCTGACTACATATACCTGGAACTATAATCAGTAGTCACTATCGTGTAGCTGGTGTATATACTATTACAATCATCTATAATACTTACCACCGACTATTATATTATTATAACAATACTACTATTATCATTTATATACTAAACTATATCACAATACATAGTAATATATACATTATATTATGATAAATATACTACATAATATACTATATTAATAGTTATTATATACAATAATACTAATAATAATACATATTAATTACTATAATAGTTAGTGATATAATTATACATAATCATAAATATAAATAAGAAATAGAATATAAATAGTACTTACAAGTATATTCTATACAATTAACGTATTAAATACTACTATCATACAGTAGTACAGAAATACAGAAAGTGACACCATTAATATCGATACTATTATTTTGATATACTACATACCGTGGATACATATTATATACTATTTAATAGTATAATATATCTGATGAATATGACACAATGACTAATATAATATATATCAATTAAAGTACATTTATATATACAGGATGACACTATATCAGAATATGTCAATATAATACATATACACAAACTAACACAGCTCGGTAATATTTATATCACTTAAGCTACTCTATCTCACAGTAAGCTAACGCATACTCTCTTGTGTCTATAATACTACTCATCGTCCCCTATATTATATACATATACACGAGATATACATTACAAACTACTATAGTATCACTCTCTAACAGAGGAGTGCACTTCATTATACTATAATTTACTAATACTACTATACAAATTTAACTAATCGAACATATAACTACTCTCATACAACGTGTGAGTGCGATGTACAACGTGGAGAAAAGTGAAAAAAGAGAGAGATACATTCTATAGTTTATTCCCTATACTAGTAGTGAGAGATAACAGATAGAAATTATATGTCTTATCGACGGTACTTTAATATACATCGTGACAGTCAGTTCTTGAGTGAGTACTAATACATTGATATATGTAGTAATGATATATATACTCTACTATGTATTCTTATCGTATATATATATTATCTCCGAGTGTAATACCATTATAATAGCGTGATAGCACTTGAGAACTATATACGTGTGAAATTATATTATAAATAGCATATATTATTATATAGCGTGACCGTATAGTAGGTAAATTATATATCAGGCTCATATATATATATGATAAGGTAACATACGCTTTATATGAGAACTAGCTCTATAAATAGAGTATATATTAATCATACTAATAGTCACGTATCATACACACACGTGAGTGTAGATAGTAAATAGTATACATAATATGGCTACTAGGCGAGTAGTACACCAACTATATATAGATCTTCATATAGAAATGTCAAAGCGTGATATCTCGCTATACGTTATATATCAGTATATCTATATATATTATGTATATATTATAGTTAATATTAAATCCTATATATATATAATATCATACTCACTAGGTTATATGTTACATATCCAATAAAGGTCACGCATGTTAATAAATCTAGTCTCATTTGTGATTATGTGCATATCAATTATATATAAAGTAAAGCTGAGTTAATAAGTATAGTCATATACTATATAACAAGAACTCGATACACTCAGAGTATAGTATATATGATGTATATTATGCAATTACATATTAATTAATTTAACAATATAGTTAGCTTAGCAAGTTGTGTGCTATATATCTTACAGATAGAGTAAAAATAAGAGCTCTACGGTCGGCCGTATGCAGTACGATATAGCATTCACAACAGAATAATCGCGACCTATATATCCAAATCTCACATCAACGAGAGCTACACAACGCTTATTATAGTCTTGAGGAACATTTCCTTAGTGACTAAGCTAACTTCTCCGTGAATATCACAGAGTCAAAGCTCATCCAGTGCCGTAATATATGTCAATAACCACCTCACCATGATTATGGTCGCTTTATATATAATATACCATAAAACACATTTTGTGTGCGGTGGGAGGTTATTATATATTTATAGGTAATATATATGTAACCTATATATCGCCTATTCTTTTTTCTAGTATATAATTTATAATATTTATATATATATATATATACTATAGTAATACATATAACTTCAAAAAGATTTTGAATAAAATTGTAATGTACCTCCTAGAAGAAGTGTTTTGGGCCCGTCCAATACAAACTGCCATACGTGTGTCACATTGTTCGAGCGACGTCAATCCTGAGTATCTTCAACCCCCAATCTTTAGCACAAGTGTTTTGTCTGGAGGCTCTATTTCGCTTACAAAGAATAATAAATATATACCTAATGTCGCGATGAGATAGACGAGATAGTGGTGTTTAGCTTCCCAATCAGTTATGTCCATCCATAAATGTATGGAGTGAGTGCGAGAGGTGGTTAGCTCGTTTACTTATCCTCACAACAACCGCTACGCGTGCTGTCAATTTCACCAAAAAGATAAAAAATATAGCAGATGTTAGATTAGAAGAAAAATATATATCTATCTATGTACGGGTGAGCCTTTATCCCACGACTCATTCCGTCAATCATTAGGCACTTATGTTCTCACGGTTATATATCGAAAATAAATATGATTTATATAAATATTAAAAATCATAATGCCTACAGAATATATGGTATAACTATAAGTACTATATGATATTTGATATATATATATCATCATATGTGATGTAGGGTATATACTATATTATATTAGATATACTATATATATCAAATAAAAGTAATATTTATATTTATAAGATATAAACATATAATTATGTACAAATATATATAGATATATTATATATAGTATATATTATATATGATATTGATACACTCACCATATATAATATATATTCCTTTAGCAGCGTTGAGAAGAGAAGATGCGTATATAGTAGATATATTATATAAAGGTTACCGTAGAAGTGCAGTGAGATTCATGGTAATATGTGATAGTATAGTAGATGTCGATCGAGATGCACACAGCATAACACCACACATAAGTAGTGAGATATATAGAGGTACGTATTTACGAGTCGGTATAGAGCCTTATATGTATCGCTTCTTTCTAGATGAATATGTACTATTATGTTTACATGGGAACACACCATAATGTATCGATATGGTATATATGGATATAATGTATATTATGTAATAATGTTATTTATTATGAATATTTATATGTATTTTATTATGAAACCGCTAGTGATTTTTTATACTCGCTCCCTACACTCGAACGCAATACTAGGGTCGTATATGTGATTATGTGATGATGTATGGTATGCACTACCTATTATAGTACATGAATTTCGAGATACTAGATTCTGAGTGATAAATAGAACCATCATCGATCTCTCGCTTACACGTAGCTCTCAAGAAGACTATGATAAATTCTGGTATACTATATATGTTATATGTATGATGTATACTATATAAATTACAACCATTATATAATATAGTACAGATCTACTAGTGGTATAATATCATGATACTCTAACCCTATATAGTATTATATATAGGAGTACCATGTAAACATCACAGGAATACACACATAATTCCTACATATATCTATGCGGTGAGAGCT